GATAATTTGGCCAGTTCGTGTCACCATACACACGCATGAACCAGAACATGTAAATGTTATGATAGTTACACATGTACATGTAACATACATGTACATACATGAACATCATCAATGCTTCGACTTGTATCGCACTGCATCAAATCTTGATAATTTGGCCAGTTCGTGTCACCATACATGCGCATGAACCAATGCATGCAAATGTTATGATAGCTACCCGGTATATACACATGTACATCATAAATGCTCCAACTTACATATGTATACATGTATCGCACTGCTGGTGCATGCATGTACATGTACGTGTCTACTTGTATCAGTGCATGTTCATGAGCACCCACCTTAAATATCATTCCTTCTAAAGTTATGAACAATTCATGCGAGCGTTCACAGCACGCTAGACAGATCCCTTTAACTAGGGCCGCCGCTGCTGAGCCTGCATCGTGTACGAACCGTAGCAGCCAGGGCTGAATTAGTGAAGGCACATATTGTACATGTACATGTATACAGCTCACCAAAGGTATGCCTAATGGATGTTATTGGTTCAGCTGTGTCCTATCGATGGGTTCCCTCAAGCATGAACTTGTGCCCAAATGCCGGCGGATATGAATAAAAGAACACCCTGTCCCCAGCCTGGCAAATAATGGACGATGGACAGAAAAACTTATCCATTAATTAGCACGTACCATACTTTGTACAGTGTACGTATTGGTACACATTAAATGTACATGTACCAGTACACTGGCGTGTTATGGGACATGTACATGTACTGTACATCCCAAGGGTTCCTCACCCATGCCATTGTACATGTATATGTATACGCCAGGCATTTACATACATGTATATCCCAGGCCTGGGGGCCATTTAGGCAATTTCAGTCCTTCTCTGTTTACGGATGGGTCCTTTGGGAGAACGCGATCATCTGTCATGAATGTTAATTATCACAGTCGGGAAGCCAAGGACACACACCTGGGGGAGTGCGTTCTGCCAGATGTAACTGAGAGTTGGTGCTGTTGTTTCTCTTTGATAATTTGTTTTGGGAAATTGGGTCCTGTACACCATCCCTTGAAATTTGTGCACAGGGCCCAAGATGTCCACCAGGTAAGCCAAAATTGAACAAGTTACCGGATATACACGTATGACTGCATGGGGCTCATACCTTAAGGTTACGTTGCACATATCGTGCACAGAGATTGGTACATGTACAGTGTACCTCATAAAAGCCAATGTCACCATAACGGGATCACTTTCAGATGCGTCAGTTCACCCACCGCTGGCGGCGGGACCAATGATCCCAATCTGCTTGTACAGTTATCGCTAAATCAAGAATGGAAATTTCAATACAGGAGCACTCACAAAGTTCTGGCTGAGGTTGACGTCTGCCGCATAGACAGAACAGAACTTGACGTGGGGGTACTCCTGGGCAAGACAGTGTAGGCAACCGTCCATGGCTTCACAGGCCAGCACTGCCTGCAAGGAAAACAACAGGAAACAAACTGAACATACCGGTGCAAAAAATCATTCAAACAGTGTACTTTTGACAATATGCATAAGCCACACCCCTGACATAGTTGAAAGGATGATGAGACATTTTCCAAACTATTTTTGGTCCAAGTATCCATGCCTCTGAATTGGACATACATGTAACTAGCCCGTTTAAACCATGTTGGGCAAAAAACAAGTCGTAACACACAAATGCCTTGCCGCTCCTTGAAGTGTTGAATTCTTGCTTGCCACGTTAATTTGCCCTGCACTGAATTTCTGCTTAGCAGGGCCCAGGACATCAGTGGCCAGTTAATTGGGCACAATTTCACAGCGCACACTAAAGGCTAATTTAGTGAGCAGAGAAAACATTTTCTGTGTGAAAGTGGGTTACCGGCCAAAATGTCGTGAAAGCACTCTGTATTTCTTGTAACTGGTTCCCTATGCACTAGACACAGTATGACCGGTATCTATACCCCAGTTGCACAATTTTACTACAACCCTCAAAACTGAATAGCAGGTTTCAATTAACCTCATTTCCAAAAGGTATTTCGGTGCCTTTCTGGTTTTAAGGTACTGCCAATTTCTACATTCAGGTGCAAAACTACACTTGAGTGTTAGTCCTGGGGGAACCCTCAACTTAATGTTGCATTGGCTTGTGCCCAAAAACCTAAAATGGAAATTTTGCTGTCCTAAATTTCCTTTTCTTTGGAGGTCCCTTTTGGTGCACAATATGTATGGTAAGTTACGTACATCATGTACATGACAATAAGCCAATTGGCAAGTCTTTCTGGGACTGTTTTCAAAAAGCAAACTTTGATGCACAATTTGGATAGAAAAACCCATAAACTGAACAGTGTCTTCCTGGAATGCCATCAAAGCAACCATGGCAACGACCAGAAAAGCACAGACAATTTGAAATGTTTTTAAAACTGTACTTTCACTTTTTAGGACACATGACCCCAAAAGATGTCAAATATGGTAGTTTTCATGTATATTCAAGCGTATTGAAGTTAAACAAAATGAGTACCTAAGAAAAATTCACTGCACCACATGAACAGTTTAAATACAATGTACATACACTTTGGCTGGGTGTCGCATCTTAATTCATATGCAGTAGGCCCACATAATCGTGCTTAAGTACATGTACATTCGAAGCACTAATTCCCAATTGGCAGGGATTGCTAATGAAATTAAAATAAATCCATGTTTGGATAAGGAAGCACATCAGTATGAAAGGGGACTGGAAACCAGCTGGCGAGAGGTGATCGAAATGTTTGGATTCCCCGCATCCACCGGAAATTACCAGCTGGCAGGGAAAGTTTGAGGCTGTCAAACATTATCCAATATCCCTGATCTGTCAGCTTCTCCGGGGCAATGTTGGGCCTGTCTTTGAGTTCTTTAAGGGAAAGGACAACCGGCAGATCTGTGCCATTAATTCAACAGGGGACATGTACATGTACATGTAAGAAAGACTTGGGAGGCATGAATACAGCATTGGTTGTATTGGCCCTCTTGCTACCATGATTGAACAAAGCATTTATATGCACAGTTTTCAAAACTGACTCTGTATATAATGGACACGTAAAAAGTGTCAGCCCGCAAGAGTCTCTAAAGTGCGTTCTCTGCGCGTGATTTAATCCCAGCCCTTGGGGATGTGTAAATTAAATGGAATGGAGTAAGGCACAGATGTACAGTGTACATGTAGATCTTGTTGGACTGGGCATGGGGGTTTAAAAAGCACATGTGCTTTGTACACAAACAGCATACATGTATGGCTAATGCAGCCTTTCCACTATTAAAGGTGGCACAAACCAAACTTGAGCAACCCAAAAATGTGACACAAAACACAAGACTCCTGTATAACCTTGGAGGATATGAAAACATGTGCAGTGCACATGCATAGGGCGCATGTACATGTACACATACATGTACATGTAGGTACCGTATCAGAGATTCATGTTGTACATGTATTTATGTACAGTATACCGGTATACATGTACATACATTTCTTCATGTATTTTGTCTTCTGTAGATGTGTCTGGCTCTCATTTTTTTTCCCTTCAACTACTGTCATATATTTCATTCGTCGCCCATTCATCAGCACCCTCCTCCTGATTAGTGGTAAATAGTTGTGAGGGTTTTCATGCCCTCCGTCCCCTGAATGGTTTTGGTTTCCTTTTCTTTCTTTTTTTTTTGCTGGAGACAAAACTATCGGCAGGCAACGATCTAAACAGTAATGCTCCCAGGCATGCAACTCGGACTTTGAAAAAACAATGAGGAAGTTCCAATATTTACAAGACACTTTACATGTTTTTCAATTTTCAACGGCATGAGTGTGAAGATAAAAACAAGGAAATCAGCTGACCTGAGGAAAAGTTGCGAGCCTGGTTCTGAGTTCATTTTCTGATGAGGTACCGTATATATATCTACCGTGCAAATAATCCAAGACTTGTGATTTTGATTTTCAAAAAATTCTTTTCCCTTTAACACCAAGCCTTTGCAAAAAATTTCAATGCAAGGACTTTTTCATTTTAAAATGTTATTTCAAACAACTCTGCCAATCAAAAATTTGCTTCACCAAATTTAAGTATTAACTACACATGCAGGTACAACATATTGTTTGTTTCTCATGACTTTATTTTTTCTGAAACTCTTTTGAAAGACAATGGACAAACAACTCAGGCACTCAAAAATGTTATGTACATTGTACATGATGTACATGTACATGTATGTATGTGCAGCTACATGTACATGTAGTTTTAATAGACACATGCAAGTATATTGATAATACACAACAGGTGCATGTACCAGTAGGACCCCTTTAATGGACAAAACTATATTGTGGATCAGGTTTTCAAGGGGAACAAATTCAGAATTCTGCCCACAGTTACTGCAACGTTGACACAAAACACCGACCAAGGTCAGAGCTTCAGGCCTAATTACACCCAAACGAGATTACTGCGATTGATTGCTTTTAATCACTGGTCCAAAACACCGAGGTGTTGTCCCTCGTCTCATTCAGCGGTCTGCTCCTTCCCCCGCAACGGAGGTTTGTGCAGCTGATGGCCCCCAAATGACAATTTTCTGATCTCTACATTGATGACTTTTTACTGAGTGGGGGAAGGGGGGGTGTTGATCTCGGAGAGTTAATTTGGGCCAGCTTGATTGGCCTGATTTGCCCTACTGGAGTTGTTTAATGATTACCGGCAAATCCTGAGTCTGCTCAGGCAGACTACCCTCAATAGGAGGGTGTCCTGGAAGCATGAACTTTCATACACGTACATGTATGTTGCCGGATTTCAGAAGAGTTTTCCTTCTGGTGTTTGGGCTATGATAAATCCCAGAGTGAAAGATGACTACATGTATACAGTACATGAAAAATTGAAAATGCAGCTGTCCTTGCCTGTGCGTACATGTACCCTTTTCTTCATGTCAAAAGTGACTAGCGTGGTGCATGTGGACAAACTTCATCTGGTCCTTGTGGTCAACATTTGATATCTACATTGTACTTGCCACTTTCAGTCACATTGTGAAGGAAAATGTGACTCGCTTTGTAAAAATGAGCCACAAGTTGGCGAAGACACCGTTGAGTTTTAGTTTGAATCAAAATGAGAAACTGGGCTCTTTTTTTGGACGTACAGTGTACAGGTACCACTCACTTTAGTATCCAAATGAAAATGGACACTATGTAGGTGCAAGATGTTGAGGGTTGCTATCGCGTTAAATTGTGCAAGGATTGGCCTCTGAGGAGGTCACATATACATGTACAATGTATAGGCCAATCCTCGCATTCATGTATATGTATATATACATGTACATAGCAATATAGCCAGTAAACTATCCATGTAAGACTAAACTGTACAGTATGCAAGTACCGAGTTGAATGTTTGCAAGATTTGCCTTACTTACCGTACTTCAAGTTTAGAAATCTAAGGATTTCCATGTAGACACATTTTTTTGCCTTTATGATGAGTACACGTGTAGGTATGTACATGCACGTGTAAATGAATTTAAACTGCTTGACTGCTCTTCAGACAGACAAATAAATTTAAAATGCTTAAGTACCGGTACATGTGCTGATTGTTTCACAAGAAAATGATCAATACTGACATCATAACGCTGTGGTGAAGATTTTGCATTCCAGACCTGAGATTCTTGTGCCCAAACCGCAACACAGAAAAATCCGATTAGGCCTAATTGTCTTTTTCCCTCTACACAAAATGAACCTGCAACCGCACACGGACAAAGAAACTCGTGTATTTGTCACCTCGATCGTTACCGCAAATTATAACACAGGCCACTCTGCTTGGTACAGAGCAATTAAGGGCATGTTGGTTGAGAGCTGGATTAATTACACTTAGTGAGTGGCTACATGTAATCAAATGTCATACACATAATAGCATTCATCCACGCTCACCGTGAGCATACTGCTGGGCACTGATGACCAGCGAAGCACACAGGATTTTAAGTGCACCATCTACAGCCTACATGCAGTACCTGCTCTAAAAAAATGAGCAAAAAGATTAATTACCAGTATGTGTACCGGTACATCTCTGTGTTTTTCATGTTAAGTGTGGCCCTTTTTTCTGAGTTGTATTATACATGTGCATTACAGCTTTTTCCTTCCATAAGAATTTGAAAAGTGACCTACACTGAAGATGTCACTGTGTGCATGCACATATATACCATATACATGTACATACACTTGTGAATGATATGAGATGTTTGCTCAGCAATTTTCAAGCATTTAGGCCTGTGTCGGCAGCTACATGTAAACAACCACTGATCAAAACATCACAAATGAGGAAGATATTCATTGTATCATACAGGGGGGTACCTTACATTGACAAAATACCCATTGTGACTTGTGTGTACGTTTACATAACTTGAACTGTTTTTATGGGGGGGGCGGGAGAATTTGAAAAGTGTAAAATTGGAAAAAGAGACAGAAATGCATGTGTCTATGGTAGATTTAATTTAAATGT